CGCGGCTGCCCAAATGCCAGCCACTGTTGTCAGGCTGGCTCCCTGGAGACTCTAGCCTGGCATTGGTTTCTTTAATAGTCACAACAATGCGTTAAGAAGCCTTAACTGGGGCTTATTCTTAACGCGTGGTTGGTCCCTAGTCCCTTTTGCTCATTAGATACCTGCAGAGCTTTATCTGCAATCCATCTAGTGAGTCACTGTTGTCCCTGTTGTCATCTGTTATGCCTCCCGGCATTTCTTCTGAACTCCCTCCTCAGAAACATTTTGTTCTTGCAGTTCTTAGGAAGGTGAGAGAAGCCAAATGGGGTAGGGCTGTACTAATCTAAAATAAACATGCCAAGAGACTGCTGAGGATAAGGTGTGCCCACTTTGAGGAGCAGGTATCTCTGTGAAACCCCTTCATGCTTGGTTTAAGTTCTCTTACATGTGCCCAGCTTGGGTTTGACAGCCAGTGTAAAAATAAACTGACCTAGTAAACCAATACTGCTCTGACATGGGCTGTTTGTGCTTCCTTCTCTGCCCGATTTCCAGCCTTTAAATAGTAACCTCGTCCTTGTTTCCTTAATAGAGAAGAAGGAGTGCAGGCGGGAGCACCGCTCGCAGTGCAGCCAGGAGCCTCCCCGGGACATGGTGCACCCCAACGTCATCTGCGACGGCTGCGAGGGACCCGTGGTGGGGGCCAGGTTCAAGTGCACTGTCTGCCCAGACTATGACCTGTGCAGCACCTGTGAGGGCAAAGGCATCCACAAGGAGCACAACATGGTGATGTTTCAAAGCCCACTGCTAAATCCATTTGAGGTGAGCAAAATCTGTGGAGGGGAACTAATGAAGGGGATAGTCCTCCAGTTTAAGCTGCAAGACTGAGTTACAGAATGTGGCTGTGTGACCAGAGTCAGATGAGCATTACCCTTTACAGTGGCTTCCCCGAGGACGCTGGCTCCGTAAGATGCGGCACGGTGTCCCACCCTTCCCGTGGATGCACTGCTGGGGGTACCCTGGCCCTGCAGCTCCCTGCCAGAACTCAGAACAAGCCCAGGCCAGTGCTGCAGCCTCCAATCCACCTGCTGCAGAAGGTAAGAGGAGGTGCCCTGGTAAAAAAGGTGGTGGTGGAGCCAGATTAACTGAGGTTCTGCAGCACAGGGTAGAACCTGAGTGGAAAAAGATATGGGAACTAATCTAATTTGCTTGAAATGGCACCTTTCAGCAGAGTTGGGATTATTTTATGGCATGCTTGGGCCCGTGCAGTTGATGAGGAATGCAGAGTATCAGGGACCGAACCAAGCCGAGCTGTTAGGTTAAGCATGTCATACTCCACATCTGCCTTTCAGCATGGCTAATGAGCCTTAACAATGCTAATGCCACTGGTTGTCTGTTCCAGAGGTAGCTCAGTTAGTTTTTGTCCCTGTACTGCCTTTGTTGTGTAGTGTATGTGAGTGACAGGAAACGAGCACCAAGATCCAACGGGGATACACTTTGTAGGTGCTTTTTTCCTCTGAGCTTCTATGTGTGCTAATAGAAATTGTTTTTCTAGAAGCTTCTACTAACAGCCAGCCTCAGGACCCCAATGTCACCTTCTTAAAGAATGTTGGGGAGAGTGTTGCAGCTTTTCTGAGCCCCTTGGGTAAGTGATTTACAGTTTATCCAAATCCCTAAGACTGGCTTAAAAGCTCCTTTTAACAGGAGCAGCAGTCAGATGTTGTGGCTAATACCAGAACTACTTCATGCTACTAAGCCTCGAAGGCTTAATTTACTCCTAGGACTAATAATGTCTAGGCTTAAAACAGCCACTCAGTACCTTTTAAGAGCCCTCCTTTGGGAGAAAAAGGAGTTTTTGTGAACATGTCACCACTGTAACACTAATTTTAAGCCTGTGGTGACTCAGGAGTTTGCCTGGCTTACGAGGATGTAGATAACTTGTGCCCTGACCCTCTAAATGTATGGCTTGTCTGTCCAGAGGAAGATGACTTTTTGGTGCTTTTACTAGTCTGTTCAAAGAATGCTTTGCATTTTAATTCTTCCGTGTTACATGGCAAGCTGTAGGATTACAGAAACCTTACAGCATTAGATCAGGATTGATCCATGCTCATGTAGGATTGTGCTTTGGAAACTCTCTGAGACTCTCCATCTCAAATACCCTTCTAGGCATTGAAGTTGACATCGATGTGGAACATGGAGGGCAGAGAAGCAAGGTGACTCCTGCTTCTCCCAGTCCAGAGAAGAACAACAGTGCTGAGTCCAGCAGTACTCTTAACCAGAACGTTCAGACCAAACCAGACTGGAAAAACACAGATCCTGCTACAGAAGTCAATGGTGTTGCAGAGCAGATACAAGACATGGTGATAGATCCCGTGCCCACACAAATGGATGATGGGAGCTTCCAGTCCCAGGTACAGGAGCTGTGATACTAGTGTAATAATGCTTGCTGAGCCTTTCCTAAAAAGGAAGGTAATCATTAGTGTGCATTGTGGGACTGAATATTAAGATGTCAGCAGATGAAGTGATACATGGCACCTTTGCTGTACAGATTTACAGCAGAGGTGGTGGGACTTCTTGTGGATGGAACTGTTTGCATTAAAGGCAGAGAGTAGGAGCATGCATCCTACCTGGATCTTTTCTTTCCATTTCAGGAACACAGTGAGTCCAGCAGTTCAACAGGGGGTGATGAGGACTGGACCCACTTATCTTCCAAGGAAGTGGATCCTTCTACAGGTGAGCTGCAGTCTTTACAAATGCCAGAGGCAGATGGTCCCAGCTCCCTGAATGTATCTCCGGATCCTCCCCAGCCAGGACCTACAGGACTGCGAGAAGCTGCCCTCTACCCACATCTCCCACCAGGTATGAGAATGTGCTCAGGTTTCATAGCTGAGAGTAAACTTAATTCGGGAACTGCCAACCTGCCTGATGTAAGCAGACCCACTATGAGAGGTGGTAGAAGCCAAGGTCACAGAAGTCACAATCTCATCTTGCCCATAACTTTGTTAGCAGGCACGGCAGCTCTGTTAGAGACCAGGGGTTTCTCTTGAATGTGGGCAGCTAGGTCTTAACAAAGCTTCTGACCTCAGACTAGTAAGTCATTTGAGGAACATGAAAGAAGGTGGTATTGCAAATGACATTCTTGCTATGTACTCTTCAAGAGAGCCTCTTGGGGCAGGATGCAGGCTAGTACATCTGTCTTCAGGACAGCATTCTTCTGGGGGGAGCCAGTAACAGTGGACCAGGCCACTGAACTGAGATCAGCAGCAGTCCTACAGCAAGGCCATCCGAGTGTGACCTGGCAGTTTCTCAGCGAGTTATGTATCTTATCTCAAACACCCTGGGAGACAATGGAGGGCATGTCCTTGTGGCATTTACTCAGTTACACTAGATTTACTAAGATTAGTGCCAGCCTACCTACTCTGTGGCACTGGAGCCTTGGCTGGTTTGCCAATTACATTAAATACTTCAACTTCTTCTCTTCACAGAAGCAGACCCTCGCCTCATTGAGTCTCTATCCCAGATGCTCTCTATGGGCTTCTCTGATGAGGGTGGGTGGCTCACTCGACTCCTGCAGACAAAGAACTGCGACATCGGGGCAGCACTAGATGCCATCCAGTATTCCAAGCAGACACCTCACTTGTAGGAATCCCACCAAAAGCACTTTGCTTCTAACTGAAATCAGACAACGCAGTACAGCTCATCAGTTCTTCTGTCTGCCAAGAGTTTCTGTCTCATGTTCCCAAGTGCTTGTAGAATGGAGGAAAAATAAATGCTACTTCCTGTGATCAGTCTGTGTGAGTGTTCAAGTATCACAGCTGTATTACCTTGTCTGCTGGGACTTAGCCCCATCCCTCCCCTCTTAACTAAGAACAAGCTGTCAGGCAGCTCCCTGTGCAAGGCAGGCAGCCCAGGACTGTTGGCCCATCTTTTTGCACATACCTCACTGTACCCTTGGGGCTGTGCTTCTGAAGAGGAACCAAAAGCTTTGGTGTCTCTGAAGCCTGCTCTAGAAAAAAGGGTTGCTATGGGAGATCTGGACAAGGAGGTAATACAGAGGAAAAAAGAGCTGTACTTGGTCATGGGGAGTTAATCACAGAATTTAATTGTACTGGCCAGGAATCCTTAGAGCCTGGGAGCTTTCTCTTTGCAAGCTGACCTACTTCCAGTCTTATTTCTAGCTTAGGAGGTTGCTTGACAACACTGTGTAACCTTTGTACTTGTCCACTGCACTAAATACTCTCCCTCCACCTTCATACCATTCCCCCAAACACAGCCATAAAACAAGAAAATAGCTTTAATATTGCAGAGTTGTAAGGCTACATCTTCACTTCAGAAATCTCACCTCACTATTCAACATACCAAATACAAGAGAGACACAAACCAGGAAGCTAATGCCAAACATGCCTGAACTTCAGAGATCATCATCAAATTCATCACCAGTGCAGAAAAGGTGCAGAGAAGTGGTGCTAGGCTGTGGCCCTGTGTTAGAGAGAACATGGGTGTTCACCCTCCCTGGGCTGCCCAAACAACACCTTCCTGCAGTGGCCTCTACAACACCAGCCCCTGCCCTTATCCAGTGGCTTGGATGTTCTTTGACCAGCATCTCCTCCACTGGGCAACTGGGGCTGGGCACCACGGTGCCAGGCAGCTTTGAGGCAAGCTGCTCAGTGCTAGCAACACACTTAAACTGAGCTGGTGGAGTTCTTCCAGCCTGTTCTGAGCATCCACTGGCCCTACCAGTATCTGCTGCAGTGGTGCTGCGTAGCTCCAACCTTCCACTGCCCTCCTGTGGTGACAGGGTGACCCTGGCAGCATTTTCACTGTAGTTTTCAGAACACGAGAGGAATTTTTCCCACTTGGAGGGTTTGGTATGAGCAGTTGGAGTTTGTGTATTCTCCTCAGGCACCACAGACTCACTGACAGCAGGAACCATCGTGTCTCCAGAAAGAGCATCTCCATCACCTGGATCACGTACTAAACATTTCTGCTGCTGTAAGAGGAAAGAGCTTGGTTACAAATCCAGTGCACAGGGCTAAGCTGCACAGAAAGAGGCACAGAAAGAGCACTTGGGTCCTTCAAATGCACCCAAATTCTCACCAGCCCTCTGAGGCAGTGCAGTACAGGCTGCAGCTGTGCTGATGGAAGGTTCCAGCTCAACTGCTCAGCCTGCACAAAGTGGTGTTGTTAATACCTGACTAAAATCCTTTAACCTATCACAGAGAGAAACTCCTGACACAATTTTCTTCTCCTTCCCCACTCATTCAAATAGAAGAGCAGAGGAAGACTCATAAAAATTCAAAATTATGACAACACAGAAGAGGTCAGGAGAACACTGTTTTGTTTTTCTGACAGCATCTTCTACAACTAAAATACCCCAGTGCTTTTACCTTTTTGGCTTGGTATGCAACCTGGAAAACTCTATTTTCTTCCTCATACTCCTCAACATCACTGGAGAGGAAGCTGGTCTGCCATTTCCTGGCCAAGAAAATCATTCACAAAGAGGAAGGATTAGCTCTGCTGTGATTTTTTTCTCAGAAATCATCAGAAATGTTCATAAAACGCATGGCTCTAGCAATAAGTGAAGTTTTACCACCAAATACCAAACCCCTGCTCAGCTCAGGCTGTCCCTTGCAACCTGCACTTTGTTCAGCTATCAGAGATGAGCTACCTCCAAAGCCACCACTTGAGGGCAGGAATTAAAAAGCAAGTTCTTTCTGTACCTTTTTTGTTCCACAGCATTCTTCCTCTGTGAACAGAGCTGGGGCCTTTCTGTACCTGCCTGGTCCTCCCCACATCCCTCATCTTCACTGTCCTTGTCCAGATATTTACTCCAGCGACTGACCTCTGCCCTTTCCTCCTACAACATCAGAGAATTACTGAAAACAGAATACAGGCTTCTCAGTTTTGGCATTGTTCTCTACGTGCCAAATGCCTCAAACCACAAGTCAGTTCAGGACACGTTCCTGTATGATGTCCCCAGGGTCAGTATGCCAGTGGAGCAGAGCTCCTGTACACATCCCATCCTCTCTCTGCTCACACACAGCATTTCAGCTGCCTGAACCCACACAGAGGGGTCACCAATTTCACTTTGACTCACCCAGGTGAGTCTCAGTTGGTGTTTCCCTCTGCTTTGTTGGTACCTCACCTGCTGGAATGAACCATCTTCATGCTGGGATGATACACTTTTGCTGCCACTTACAGAGTCTTCTACACACCTAAAAGAGAAGTTTAAACAAGTTTCTAGAACATGCTTGTCTGTTGATTTATAATTTTCAGATACCTAGTCATAGCACTGGGGATTGGATAGGAAGCGTGGCGAGAAACACTGGAGAGGCTGCATGCCAGAAGTAAATGGTCTATTGAAAGCAGAAGTTAAAGGAAGGATTTGCAAGATATATTGCCCAAATACTGGGAAAAAAAAATCTATTTAGAGGGTAGCCCTCCTTTCTGTATGGAGTAGCAAATTCCATCTAAAGCCACTAATCATGAGGTGATAAATTCTCCCCGATCATAACTAGGGATATAAGAGCATGTCTTTGGGACAACAGCTTAAACCCACTAATTATATCCCCAGCAACTAAGGGAAAAGGGAAGTTATTTCACAACGTTTTTAATTTCACAATGTTTTGAGAACAGAAATAGCAACCTTTTTTGATGAAGTGAACAAACAATAAGTTTTCCTCCCAAAGCTTAACCCTGAGGCACTGAATTTACACAACTAAGTTATCTAACCAGCTTTGACTGACTGCTGAAAATAAGCCTGAGTAAAGGGAAGCTGGACCAGTTCAAGCCCAGTTCAAGATTAGAGGACTTGTAAACACATTCAGGAATGAAATAAACAGGAAAGTGCAACTCAGATGTTCCAGCCCAGCAGGAA